GTAAAAATATTTGTTTTTTTTAAAAAAAAAAAAAAAAAAAAAAACCTGGCATGGAGTCATGCAAGAGACAAATTTCCTCCGTAGGTGCTGACTGCAGAAGAATGAATCTTAGCATATTATAAACAAACAAACAAAAAACCCTGAGTTTATTTCAGGAGAGATTGTACGTATGTGCCACGGGGATGGGAATTTTGCTTTGAATTGCTGAAACTACCAAAGGTTTGCTGTTTGCTTTTTCAGGGCCGCCATTCACTCATCAGCGAATGCCACGTAAGATGGTGTATTATGGACAGCCTAGTTGTGAGCAGGACTCTGAAAGATACATTGACGTAGTGAAGTACGTGTTTAACTCCTACAAGAAGGAAGTGCCTTTAGTCATCAATACCATGGGCTGGGTGAAAGGTAAACAGCATAAACCTCTTAAGAGATGATGCAGAATGACTGTTGTAATCTGTGCCACCACACTCTCTAGGTCTGGAACTAGAAAACACAGCTTACTCCGTGTGAGCTGATACTAGCGTTTTGTAATTGGTGTTTGGGCTTGTCTACGCAGTAGCAGCAATCACGTTCTCTTTGCTCCCTGAAGGTGAGGGGTTGCTGCTTCTGACCGATATCATTCGGCTGTTGTCGCCCAGTCACGTTGTTCAGATGGATGTGTATGACTGGAAAGCCATGGCTCCGCTTACCCCAGAGTACGTTCATCTTGCTCCTGGCCTGTATACAAAGGGGAAGCAGCAAGCCAAATGCAAGCAGATGGATGCAAGCGGAGCAGAAAACTGGAAGTCCTCTGAAGGGGAGAAAGACGCAGCAGTTCCCGAGTATAAATTGCTCTATATTCATCCAGAATTCCCTCGAGCGGGGGTTGCAGGTGAAGCGTAAGTAGAAAGTTATGTGTTATGTGGCGGATTAAAAAGCTTTAAAACATTCCTGGTCCTGACAGCAAACGCATAGTAGAGACCTTTCTCTTTGCTTTGGCCTTCAGAGTCCTATTACCTCAGTCAGAGTTTTTAGTTAGGTTAGTACCTTGTGGTAGGGTAGGGAGGAACAACAAACAACAGTCCCCTCAAAAAACAAACAAAAACCCCAAAGAAACAAACTTATTTCCAGTGTCTGCTGTCAGTTACTTGAAAGTCTGCCTGGGGCTTGGTTTCCACTTGCGGTCACTGAATGTGAATGGATTTTCTTCTCTCTCTGTCATTAGTAAGTTCCTTACCCGTTTCTTACAGCTGTAGATAGTGACTGCTACCTCTTAGTTTCGTTCATACTACAAGTCAGTCTGTGTTGTTTATATCTCTGAAACGCGTGTTTTTCTGGGCGTTGAATCTTTCTTGCCAATTTTAAGTACTATGCTCTGTCTCAAGGCTGACTAATCGGAAGGTGTATCAGCATTGTGGGAGAAAAGAGGCAGTATCTAGTAAAAGGCTGTCTTTATAATTTAAAAAAAAAAAAACCCAAAACCCTACTTTGTTTATTAATGCTCTTTTGAAGCTGAAATGATGCCGTGAACCCTATGTTCCCTTAGAGTTAATACGAGTATAGTTCTAAGTTTTCTTCAGCGTGGGAAGAGTTAAAAATTAAACGAGTGTGAAAGAGTGGCTCATATTGCTGCATAAGTTGCCTTTTATTGATTTGTTGCGGTGGTTTTTCCAGCCGGGTACATAGCAGCATCTTACGTGACATGGCAATACTGGGTTACCTTGGTCAGCTGCAACCGCCAGACATAGGAGCGGTACTTCCACTACATAGTCTTGTGCCCTATCAGGTAAGTTGAGGTTTTTGGAAGACTTGGAAATGTTGCAGGGAGGCTGGCTCTTAGTAATTTAGGGTTTTTCTTGTGTTGCAAATGTTTTGTGGAAAAAAACACTTCTGTGAACTGGAGGAAAAAATCCATTCAGTGCGTTTCAGAGGTTTTTGCTGAGGTGTCAGTATGGCATAGTGTCTTTCTACATATGTGGGTTGGGAGCTCTCAGGTCTTGTGTACTTAGCGTTGTCTCTGGAAAATCAGACTAAGTTGATGTTGAGCTAATGGTAAGCCGTTTCTTTCCTTAGGTACCTTTCAATGCTGTTGCACTCAGGGTTATTCACACTGATGTTGCTCCTACCAACATCATGTATGCTGTGAATGCCAGCTGGGTTGGGCTCTGCAGGATACCGGATGAAGTCAGATCCCAAACTGATGGGCCGGTCTTGCTGACACAGACACCGGTCTGCGATTGCCTTGGCTTTGGTGAGTGAGTCCTGGACGCGTTCCCTCTTGTCATATTGTGACAGGTATATTGCAAAACGACAGAACTATCAGTAGTCGTCTCTGTCAAAGGCAACTGGAAAAGTAGGATTAGAAAAAAGAATAAGTATATACTTCTTCAAAAATATATTATCTTCCATTATAAGCTGTGCTTGCAGTCCTTTGTTTTCCACTAACGTGGTAACAGCTAGGGGGAATGTCACTGAGCAGTGTTTTTCTGTGGCTTCTTTCTCACTCGCTTTTTTGTAATTTGACAGATTACTCGCTTTTTAGACTGATATTTTCAAAACCAGGTTCCAAATGACTTATATAAAAATCCTTCAGTTGTCTGAGAGACTTAAATTCTTATTTCACATGCAGAGGAAAACAATTTCCTTTCTCTGAACAGAGCTGGAACAATAGCGTTTGTGGACCTCAAACTTATAAAGGGATCTCCCAGTACCAAGCCCAGTTTTCTTTGCAGAAGATTGGATGTAATACTACAGTTCTAATTTTATGAGCTCAATATTGAGCTCACTGAAGCTTCTGTGGGAGGATAGAGCTATAAGGAGGGATTTATAGCAGTTTGAGAAACTAGCTGTTTTTAATCTATGCTGAAGTGTTGGAACATCGTGACATGGAAATGCAGATTTTTCTCAAGAAAGATGTTTGGAGAATCCTGTTGTTCTAGAAGAACCATCTATTCAAAGAGCTTCCACTATGTGCAGCAGTTGTATCGGTCTGAAGTAGTGCAGAGGATTTAAGACTGAACTTTGCATTTATTTTCAAGGAATTGTCCGAGGTGTTGATATGGAGAAGAAGCTTTATCATATTCTGACTCCAGTACCTCCTGAGAACCTAAGACTAGTGAACTGTCTACTACTTGGAAATATCGCTGTTCCAAACTGTATTCTTGTGAGTCAGGTAAAGAGCTGCATAGGAAGTAGGTGGAAGTTATTTGAAGTTAGCCTGGCTATGTATAAAACTTATATAGCCACATTTTATTATATGTGTATATATATATATATTTTAAAAAAAATTGACGTATGTGTGTCCGGAAGTTTCTGAGCATTAACAGATAGTTATCCAACTAGGAATTGTCCTTAACGCATAGCAATAGCTGAGAGGAGGTGGTTGTTCTCAGTTTTCAGCTATCAGTGGGGTTTGTTCGGTGACACCTTAACTGCTTTTCACCTGTGGACTTTTTGAGTCTGCTTAAAGGAAAGAGAAAAATCTTTTAGCTGAAGACTTTATTTCTTGAATTTGTTTCTCTGTTCTTGTTTTTTTTCCAGCAAGGAATTGAGGGAGAGATACCTTATGTCACATCGGAATATAATTACAGTATCTTGGGATCTGGGAAGCTGAAAAAGAAGAAGCACTTCAAGAGAAGGGAGTACATGTTCCCCTGTGATTTCACCTAAAGACTTTGAGAGCTTGAATTACAGGATTTGTTTTATATGGAGTCTTGCTAGAGCTAGGTATGTTCACAGAAGCCCCAGCTACTGTAGAGCTCTGCGTGACCCAGAACAAGTGTCCGGTGTGGATACTACACGTCCGTTTTTAATATTGTTCTTTTATATTTGCAACACGTATTTTGGTGTTTTGTAATAAATATCTGTTAAAAATGTGGATTTGGTATGAATTTTTTTCTAAGCCTATACTGACTTAGGTATAGCTAATGCAACCTGGGGATAGTTACTGAAAGCTCCTTCTGTCTTAAAGAGCAAGTTAGTAGTGTGAAGTGATTTGTTCTTCTGTTTAAACTTCAGGCTTTAGTTTGCTCTACGTTCAGAAAAGTATCCAGTGTGCTGGGTTGGGTGTGTGAATACGCCTCAGCAGAAACCAAATCTCTGCGTTACTCATTTCTGGTCAGAGGCTGCACAGGTTGTTCTTTCCCTGCATCTGTAACTAACTTGCATCTGTCTTTGAGAGTTTCACTGTGTGCTTTTTTTATTTGATTGATTTTGTATGCCAATTTTAGAAAATGCTTTTTCTGGGGAACTGAATGTGGCCACTGGAGGGAGTCATCCACTCACCAGAAGCTCTCTCCTGAATCTTACAGCTAAACTTGGCACCCGTTAAATTGGGCCGCAGAGGCTGATGGTGCAGTAGAAAACGCTGATGTTGGCAGAAATGACCGATAAACCGTGTCTGAGTTGGCTCAGCGCTCAGATGGTGTGGGTTGCTCTAACCTGATGTAACTGTCCAGTGCAGAACTGGGGTGCATCTGGCAGCAGGCAGCGTCCGTGGCAGAATCCTTCTACAAGGCGCTTTGAGAAAATGAAACCAGAGATCATGCTGTAATTCTAATTTGTACCCGCCGCTGAAGAGAGCGTGTGTGCGTCTGGGAACCCCTGAAGAAAAGGCATGCCACCTCGCACAGCACTCTTAAAGCTATTGTTTCCCCCCCCCCCTTTTTTTTTCTGTGCTTCTGGCTTGTTCTAGCTCTATATGCTCTATTGTTTAAACCCAAATGTACTTAGAATTCGAAGTACGGAAAGAGCTTTTGCTCTGGCTTTGTCTAGATTGTGGTACTGCTAGGGGCTAAATATTAATCAAAGGGGGAATAACTTTTGTTACCCACATACCGCTCAGAGCAACAGTGTGGTCTCACACAACTCTTATCTGGTGTATGTTGGATTGTGGCAGACTAGAGGACGGTACTGAGGTTCTGTGTGGTTTTGCTGTTGGGTTTTTTTGTTTTTGTTTTAATTTGTAGCTCTCGGTTGGGACAATGACTTGTTCCTGAGTGAAAATCAGATTGTGGGAGTCGTGCAGAGGCGAGTAAGCTGCTCAGCCAAGTTGAGAACCTATTTGGCAAATGTTTGGGAATCTGTCTGGAAAAACATTTCTGGATGAGTAACTTTGGGCAGCTTTGGGCTTTTGATGTATCCTTAACTGTAAAAAGTAACCTCAGTTATATCTGCAGTTTCTGGAATTACAATTAACGTAGGGTGGCTCTGTCTGTGTCCAAAGCAGAGGTCTTTAACTGATGATGTTGTCGCCTTAGCACAGCTCGGTGGCACGGGAGCACCCGCGTCCAGATGGGCAGGCTGGGACAGCGCGGGCTCTCCCAGCCAGCTGTTGGCACGTAAACTTCCCGGGGCAGGCAAGGCAGGGTGTCTTTTCCCAAGTTACTTTTCCCTTAGTTAGTGCTTTGGAAGGCCTGAGGAATTGGATCTTGCTACTCCGCGGAGACTTCAGTTGCCTTTTCCAAATAGTCTGTCTGGAAACTTCTTGACTGCGTTCAGATTTTGTCCTGTGTAAGAAGGAAGGATGCTGTGTTCTGCTAAATATCAGATTCTTAGGCTGGCTACCAAAGTGGATATGAGTAATCTATAAAAAATGAGGGAATGCTTTTACCTAGTTTATTAGGAGGTTTCCTGATGCTTTAGAAATGTGTACCTGTAAATGAACAAATGAAACAAATGGAGTGACTTTACTGGAGAGGGGGAAAAAAAAGCTCGGTGCAGTACTGCTGCCTTTTAAAGAGTTAAAGCTTTAACTTAATCCAGTCTTAATTCTCCCCATATGGCTAGGTCTGGCAGCACAGGAAAGACTTGGCTGACAATCTAGCCTGAACAGTGGCTAAAATAAATAGGGGGGCCATCTGTGCAGCAAGGGGAAAAAATCACATATGAAGCGCAGGGCCTCCTCGGGCAGACCTCGCCGAGTGAAATGTATGTTCAAGACCTGCCAGCAAAACAAGGGCAGGCAGGGAGCAGGAAGGAAAAGGTTCAGTTGTGAAAGGTGAGACAGCTCTGTGACATGTCAGAGCTGAGTGCGCCTCCTCTGCGGGCGAACCGGAGCGTCCGGGTCCGGTGATGCTTGCCCGCCTCCAGCGCCCGTTGCTGCGGTAACTCGTCCTGCTGCTGCCGTGGTGCTCGCTCGCCTACGGCTTGAGTTTTTCTAAGGATTTGAGAGTGCTTCAGTGGACGGTGGAGCTGTCTGCCTGGGAGGAAGGGGTGTGTGTGTGTGTGTCTGGAAAGTTGCGCTGCGAAACTTCCAGTTCTACCTGGCAAGCGGCAGGAGCCCGCGGGGCGGAGGCTGGCGGTGCTTGGGTTTGGCGTCTGCAGGAGGGAGGGATGTTCTAGCTGGTAGAGGAGGGAGACCGGGGAGGCAGATGGGAGCGCCGGTGAAACGTGTGGCTCCGAGGAGCCAGCACTAAAACACACGGCACCGGGGTGTGGGGGAGCAGGGCTGAAGAAACAAGCCAGAGGCGGCCGAAGGTCCTGCTTTTCGTGTCACAGTGCGACAGCTCAAGAAGGCGAGCCCTGGCGAGCG